CTTCTCATGCTGCTGTACAGGGACCCTGGGCGCAGGTTGTTCTTGGATGTGGGAGGGACCTAGATATGAGCAGAACCTGCATATGGGCTGCATACCAAGGTCCCAGACACAACTGCTTTCAACCTTGCTGTGCTTTGGACAATTCCTCTACTTACTATCATGTGTCATACTTTGAACTGTGGCCTATGGAAGGACAATAAGGACATGAGTCTCATTATGTACTTCACCTACCCCTGATCGAGCAGTGCTACTGGGAAAACTTCCCCACCTTCCTAAGGCTGACTTCTTCATGACACAGCCTGGGAAATAAAAAAGCTTAATAGAAACTATCTATCATCTAGATAGTGAGCCAAATACTTAATACCCCAGTGGGAGCCATAAGATTGTAGAATTTTTGAAAACCAAGCTTGGTTTTCAAATCTTTTGGCTTGTTGTAGACTCTGATATTTCATTCTGGAGTTAAAAACTGAATAGTAACTGCTTCTGACTTATTGCACTCCAGCTTTAAGAATTCCAATCTTCCCAAAGGCAAACAGACAATTCTGGCAGAATGGGGGGAAAATCCTGCTCAGGAAATGCAAAAGACTAAAAGAGCATTCATCTCTTTTAAAAATATTACCATGATTCTATACTAGAGAGACTTAGACTGTTTTTATAACAAAAGTACAAGAAAGGTAGAGAGGAGGACGCTGAGGTATAGCAGAAAGAATCAGTTGGTAGAAAGAATCAGTTGGTAGAAAGAATCAGTTGGTAGGTTGAATTGCCCACAGCAGAATATATAGTGTCAAAACACAATTAAAGAGACTGGATTTGAAGGGGGGAAAAAAATGGCCTCCCACTGAAATAGAAGAAGGGGTTTAAACGTTTGGTACAATAAATCATTGCTAGGTTGCACTCCTACTGTCAAAATTTCCTAATTTCATTATTTTTAAAAAGTACAATGCTAACAACGAGTGAATTACAATGTTTAAAAATATGAATGTTGTATGAAATGATTTCAAAGATGAGGATGTGAAGAATAGAGCTCTATAATGTACAACAGAGTTATTTAAATGGAATGCTCTTGCTGGAAGAAATTTCCCCGACCTCCTGTGATCCTCCCTTCAAACAAATTTAAGTCATTTTATTAGAAAAATAATAACCCTGTCCATTTCTGACACTAGCACAAGTATTTTATTGTTTGTGCTCAGATGAGCACATCAGCCAAAGTCACATAAGTGGCCTATTCTCCACATTAGCTGGCTTGGGCCTGAGTTCTAACCAGGACAGATGCCTTGTCTTCTCTTTCACTGTTTCCTTTTTTGTGTGTTTCCTTTAACTCATTTCTTTTATTCGATCTTACAGATGGAATATGGCAGCCAGATTTCAGATTATTAGCTCACTCAATAGGAAATATATATTCCTGTTTCAAACAGAGCATCTGTCTGCTCTCAGGAATGTTAAATAATAACAATAGCACAACTACAGAGCAGCTTAGGATAGGAAATGAAAACCACCACTGAGTTCTGGAACACTTGGAAGGACACTCCAGGCAGAATGTAATTAAGTACTTGGAATTTGTGGTTTAGGCCACCAGGGTTAAAAATATGCCTCCTGAACAAGTGCTTTAGATTTTTCAAAGATCAGAACTATTGGCACACATTGCAGGCTGATGAGAGTACCCTCTCTCTAGGGGTGTCCACTGTAAGTACAGATTCTGTGTGTCTTAAAGTAGCTCCGCTTTCTCAGCAACAGTCAGAAAGGGGAGGAAAGTCCTTCTGCGTTAAGGGATTCAGGGTCCTTTACATCCTCCCTTCCAGAGTATGTACTTTACTTACTAAAGCAGCCATTGTTCTTCCTCATCTACTTCTGAAAAAACAAAATACACTATACTGCAGACTTTTTTTGATAGAAAGATATAGAATTAAATAATAACACAGAAATGCAAACTATTTTCCTAACACTTTATTTCCTACTCCTTCTATCCACAGCCACATAGTACACTGAAAATACACAGTATGAAATGAATCTGGATAGTGCAATCATACACAAACAATATTAAAGGAAATGAAACTCATTTGTTACTCTATGATCAGCAATGACAAAAGTGAGAATCAATACTATTACTAATATATTACTGTATGTTATAAGGTTAATAGTGACCTTCCCCAAAGTAGCCACATCTTAATCTTTGGAAACTGTCAATGTTACTCTACATCTGGCTAAAAGGACTTAGCAAATGCAATTAAGTATCTTGAAATGAGGAAATTTGTCTGGATTATCTATGTGGACCATAAATGAAACCACAAGCATCCTTGTAAGGAAAAGGTGGAGAAAGATTTTACTGCAGACAGTAGAAAATGTAATTTCCAGGCACTCTACTAAACATATTTCGGTGTGAAAGGAGTTTTTTGTTTTGTTTTGTTTTGTTTTGTTTTGTTTTGGTTTTTCTCCGGTACCGGGAACCGAACTCACGACCTTGCGCTTGCCAGGCAGGCGCTTTTGCCGCTGAGCTAAATCCCCAGCCCTGTGAAAGGAGTTTATTCCACATCAATTGGAGCACATTTCTTACTGTGTAGTGGTTCATTTATTTACTGAATATTAATATCTATTTACATTATCTTTTCCCAGTCACCACAAATTCTCATCCAGGTTACTAAAATTCTCAACTATTTTCCACTGACAATTTTTCAATCATTAATTTTCTATTCTATTTTGAGAACAATCTTTCTAATCATGGAACATTCCCATGATTAGAAACTTTCAGTTACCCCGTTGTACACATAAAATAAAATCCACACCTCTTAATATGCTGTATGAGGATCTCCACAAGAAATACTACCATGTCAATGACCAATTCTCCTTCACATCCTCATCGTGACACTTGAACACAATTTCATTTGCAAGTGAAGACTTTTTTTTTTGGTACTGGGAGTTGAACTCAGTACCTCATGCTTGCCAGGCAGGTGCTGCACCACTGAGCCATGTCTCCAGCCCCCAACTGAAGACTTTATTGCTGGTTCGTTCTTTGCCTGTTGTGCACTCAGCATGCTGTACTTTGTTCTGTATTGTTAGTAAGTGTTTCCCACACTCCTCCTTATAAACTAAGTATGAGAAAATATTTCTAAATCACACAAATGATTTTATAGTAAAATTATCAAAAGGTGGACTTTGGATTTGGTCTGGGTTTGAATATCAACATATTTTTGACAATCTATTCATTTTATCAAAAATACTTATCAACAAAATGAGGCTAATACACCCTACCATTGTAAAGATTAATAAAGCAATGTTTTGAAAATGCTGAGCACAATGCATAGCACATAAATCCACCTATAATTTTTTTCTGCAGTTTTAAATCCAGGGCCTTCACACTAAACTACGCCCTGTAAACTTGGTGATCGCATATGCCTATTCCTACCTTCATTATGATTTATTTAAATGTGATTAGTCTTTTGCTAGTACATGCCCATATGCCCTGTCATCTACTCTTTCTCTTGCTCTAAAACTTTTCCAATTTTCTCTACCTAAAAAATCCTACATAATCTGCAAGACTCATAATAAAACTTGTCCCAAACCAACTGTTGCTTCACAGCCTGAGTTAATAATTCCATCCATTGAATGCCAGCTTCATCATCCCCACCATATGTTTTGTTAGTGTGTAGTAGTTGTGCAGATTAATGGGCTTTGTTTGGTGGATTTGTACATGCATATTACACACCTTAATAATCTTCCCCATTAACTGCCATGTCCCACCACCCTCCAATTTCACATGTCTGATGTATGTAACATATTTTCATCGTATTCATGCCCCCATCACCCACAGTTATATCCCCTTTCCTCTTCCTTCTTCCCTTCCTCTTATCTAATAGTAGTATCCTTTCTATGCTCTTGTCATCTTTTTAAAATTCAGTGTATTATGGAGAACATATGATCTTTGGCTTTTAGTCTGGCTTATTTTGCTCAACGTGATGATCTCCAGATCCACCCATTTTTCTGCAGATGACAAATTTTCATTATTTTTTTATGGCTTTGCAATACTCCCATCATATATAGATACCAATTTTCTTTATCTATTCCTCTGCTGATAGGTACCTAGGCTGTTCCAGATCTTGATTATTTTATAATGTGCAGCAAAAACACGTTTATGCACATATCTCTATGAAATGTTGACTTTAATTCCTTGTAGTACATACCAAGAAGTGGTATAGCTGAACCAAATTGTACAATTTTAGGAACTTTTATATTGATTTCCAGAATGATTTTCCTAATTTACATTGATACCAGCACTATAGAAACCAACTTCATCTTTATGCAATGAGTGCTTATGCATATCAGAATCAAAATAAAATCTTTTACAACTCACATGACCAAGGGGTAATTATGTATGCTTTAAAAAACTAATTTTTAAGGAAACTCTTTTAAATTTCTGTTTTAAATTGCTGGGTAATAATCTCCACAGAGGTATAATATCTGTAAGTGTGTTCTTAGTCTTTGCTTCCAGCTAGACTGTTATTTTTCTGAAAAGAACAGCCTTGTTCAGCTTTTCTTCGTTCTCAAATGCAGCATGAGGTTGTAGGAAAAGAACTCAGCAACTTTTTTTAAATGAATGAGTAAACAGAACCCAACTTTAAGTCATGGTAGACCAATTGCTTGGATATGCATTTATTATTACACAATTAAGAAAACAAGCTGCACTTATTCCAGTGTAACATCTTCCATTCAAAATATATTAATGGAGACTTTGTGTACCAGTTGGACAGCTAAAATCTCAATTTTGTGGGATTACCGGCAGCTTAGCCTTGTATTTAGGGCTGCTTTTGACAGACAACATGGTGGGCCCGGGTAATGACTAACACAGCAGAGAGCAAGACCACACTGGTTTAGGGTGAAAACAGATGATATGGTCCTGAAAGTCATCAAGAAATGAAGTTCTCTGAGTAGATTTTTATGTTTTGACACTTCTCAAAACACAACCTAATGAAATTAATTTTATTTTCTTCCTTTTTCCCAAAATACAGAATGAACATAAAGACAGCTCTGCTAAAAAGACCTGGCCAAAGACTTCAGCAGTCCCCTGTTGGTAGAAGAACTAATAATAAATGCCAATACTATTGTATGGCTACATACAGTAAGTATATTATACAAAGTATATTATGAGAAGTAAAGGCTTAACAGAACTTTGACTTTATTTAAGAACCTAGAAAAAAAATCACATTTCTTCCTGTGAAAATGGAGACATGAATCCACTTTTAAACCTTTTTTTAAATAAGCTATTAAAGGATTTACCTGTGCTATGCTTGCCGTGGAGTGACGAGGGAGAACTGAAGCCTTCTTGGGGAAGCTGCTCATGAGCAGCAGGAGATTCTCAGCAGGGAAAAGCTCCAATTTATGAATCACTTAGCACAAAAAGTGAATAATCCAGGGAGGCAGGAGACTCCATCACCCAATATCTGCACGTATGAAGGGGTGACCTATGCAAGTTGCACTCATATGTGATTACTGGTTATATCACGAGCCACAAACATATTATTACATATTGTAGATACATTCATTGTCAATTAAGTGTTTTGTTGTTCTTATAAAGTTCTAATTATAATAAGTCTTCATTTGTAAGATTAAAAAGAGATATCTGAATTAAGTAAACTTTACTGACAATTGCTGTCATAACACTTGTGGTCAAGTAGGTAGACCAGTTAGACAGCAACACCTAAAAAATAGAAACTAAACAAAATCTATATCAACCAACGTGCTACATGGAGATTATTGTTCTAGGCTAACATAAAGAACCGAAGGAGGTAGGAAAAGAGAAAAACATTTTCTAATCACATACCAAGACATAATCATATAAGTCAAACGTGGCAGCTTCTAGCTACTCCACCGTACACTTGAATGTACCTTTAGTGGTAATTTAGAAGCAAAATGAAGAGCTAAATGATGAACTAATGAAATCTCAATTTCCTCTTCTTACCTAATAATGGAGATAGAATGAACCATATGAATATAGTTGTCTTTTTTCTCTCAACCTTTGAGTATACAGACACATAACTAAATTTTTACATTATTACCTAGTTTCATCATCATAGCAAATTATGAATTCTTCACAGTCACCAAGTGTGTCCTTTAATTCTCTTGCATCGCGATATCACATCTATAAGATACAATTGAAAACTGTAATGAATTATATTTTTAAAAATTTATTACAGTAAAAAGACACATTGTAATTAGCCCCCTCAAAATTCTCACTCTCACTGTGAATACATTTATCACATCATTTTTGCTACTTTCTGGAACAGTTCTGGAAGTCTTCTCTCATGAATATCTTTGGTTACACTGTCATGGCTACCTTCATGTCCTGAAGTGATTCAAAATGTTTACCGTTCATGTTAATTTTGGCTTTGGGGAAGAGCCAGGAGTCATACAGTGGCAGATTCGGAGAGTAAGATGGATGAGGACACATGATGATGTTTACAAGCCTGTATTTCCATTGGCTCAATATGCATTGTATTTTTGGTCACACTTCATAAAGACATTCACAAAAAGGAACTACCAGAACTGCTTCAAAAATTGGCTATAATAATGGGATAGGGCTGGGGATTTAGCTCAGCGGCAAAGCGCCTGCCTGGCAAGTGCAAGGTCGTGAGTTCGGTTCCTGGTACCAGAGAAAAACAAACAAACAAACAAAAAAAAAATGGGATAAGTGTATCAGAAGCAAAGTGAGATACTGTAATGGGGGTTAATCTCAATGTGTCTTTTACCGTAATAAAAGTAGTTAAACTTTTGTCACATATTTTGATAACTCTCTATACCTAGTGTGCAGGAGATAGAGAATTCTCACTATGAAATTACGATGTGGACTGTAGAGTCACAGTGTAATCTGGCGATGACTGGTGATGTCCAGAAACTTTCGGATCGTGAGAGACAAGACAATCAAAAACAGACACATCAAGGAGGCCACTTTCTATTTCTGTTGGGAGAAACAGAGTGCCGTGTGAACTGGCATCTTTTTAAAAATGTGCTTTAAAAACAACTTGCAGCCCTTCCTAAAGGCAAATTTGTTTGGAAGCACGAAGAGATTTTAGGAAGAATTTGTTCTCCAAACCATCTGTTTCAGTGCTGTTGTTGTGCACAGTGAAAGCTCAAGCCGTGTGGCACGTCAGCTGAGCCATGCGGCGGGCGGCCTCAGATCACCTCACTTACCAAACTGCATTTTACTCTAAGGTTTTGCTCACCATTCAAGGCCATGTTCATTTTCTTTCTGTGTGTGTGTGTGTGTGTGTGTGTGTGTGTGTGTGTGTGTGTATGTTACCTAGGATTAAACCCAGGGCTTTAGCACTGAGCTAGATCATCTGCCCTTTTTTCATTTTTACTTTTGAGACAGGGTCTCACTACATTGCCCAGGCTTGAATCAAACTTGGGATCACCCTGCCTCAGCTGCCAGAGCACTGGGATTGTAGTTGTATGCCACAACACCGGAGTGACTTTCCTTTTCTTAGTTTATGTGACAAGTTAAAACCACAATTCAAAATTTGAAGAAAATTATCTCTGAAGATAACACAGTAAGCAACAAATCAATAGCTGTCATTGTACGTGGTAAGGTTGAGGTGGGTGGACTTCCGCAGGATGCCGGACACAATATTGAATGACAGTTCAGTACAGAAGACAGACATCATGGAGAGAGAAAACAAAACTAGTAAGCAGAGAGCAAACCTCTCTGCCCCTGATGAAAATGGCAAGGTTTTGGCCATGGAGTCAGATTTGTCAACAGCAGGAGAAGAAGAGTTATTTAGGAAGGGATACATCACACAAGCCTAAGGGAAACACGCTCTTCTCCAAGTTGCAGAATTGTCACTTCCTCGTTCAGCCATCATAAAGATGATAGAATATAATGGTAAATTATATGAGTCAAATTGACCATGCTAAGGCATGCCAAGACAAGCACTAAAACATTATTTCTGATACTTCTGTGTAAGTGTTTTCCAGAAGAAAAAGCCTCTGAATAAGTATACCGAGTAAAGAAGACTGGCTTTCATTAATATAGCTGGGCATCACTCAGTCTATAGGACTTAATAGAGCAAAAAGTTGAAGGATGAATTTCTTTTTCCCTTTTTAAGTGGGACATCCATCCTTGCCCTCCAATTTTGGAGATGCTGGTTCCTGTGTCTTCAGATTATAGCTTTTATACCATGGGCTCTCTTGACTTTCCAGCTTGCAGATGGGATATTGTGAGATATCTTCACATTCATAATCATATAAGACCGTACCCATAATCAATCAGTCTATTATCTATCTATCTATCATCTATCAATCTATCATCTATCTACCTATCTATATCTTATAGTTTCTATTTCTTGGGAAAGTACTAACATGAATTAGATAAAAATCACCAAAAATTTGGCAAAGTGGGGGAATAGGAATTTTCACGGCCATCAAATTGAAGCTGTTGTGTATTTAACAAAGCTTTGCACATTTAACAAAGCTTAAAACAATGAATGTGTAAGTGATAATTCCTTAAAATCAACAGCTTGAGGAAAGTCAAGTTAGGATAAATTTCCATGATGGTTATAAAACAGTGCGGCTGCTATACAAAATGGTATGAAGGTTCCTCAAAACCCATCATATGCGTCCACTGCTATATGATTCAGCTGTCACACTTCTGAGTGTACAGCTGAAGAAATTGAAGGGCCAGGGATGTAGCTCAGTGGCACAGTGGCCTGTCTGGCAAGCACAAGGTTGTGAGTTCGATTCCCGGTACAAAAAAAAAGAGAAGAAATTGAAATCAGAATCTCTTAAGAGGTATCTGCATTTCCATGTTCATTCCACATCTTCATCTGTTTTTGTTGCTATAGCAGAATGAGTAATTTATAAACACAAGACAGAAGTTTATATGCACACAATTCTTGACACAAGGAAGTTCAAGATCACAGCACTGGTATCCAACCCGCCAAGAGCAAAGCCTTCCTCCTCCATCATAACCTGGCAGAAAGCTAAGCAAGCATACCTAAGACAGAGAAAAGAAATAAGACCGTATACATCATTTTACCAGGGGCCTACTCCCATAATAATAGCATCAACCCATTCACGTAGGCAGAGAACCTCATCACCTACTCACCTCCTGATAGTTTCACATCTTAACACTGTTGCAGTAATGACAATTGAATTTCATCCGAGTTTGGAGGAGACATTAAATAAGTGTTCAGTTTTGAAATTGCCTTGCAGCAAGTACAATCACTATGGAAATCAGTAAGGAGATTCCTCAAAAGACAAAACTAAAAATTCCATTTGACCCAGCTATTCCCCTTTTAGATATCTTCCCTAAAGAGTGAAAGACACCATACTACAGTGATAATAACTATATTTATAGCAGTACAATTCAAAATAGCTAAATCTTGGAAGTAACCTATATATCTATCAACAGATAAATGGAAAAAAATGTGATTTCTACATGGAAGTGTGTACTACTCCACCATAAAGAAAGACAGATTTCTCAAGAAAGAGTACTTTGTAGGAAAACTGATACATCTTGTCCAGGGAAATAAACACACAAGCTTAACTATCACTTGATTTCTCTGATATGAGAAATCCAAATTATAAATAAAGAGCAAAATAAATGATAGATATAGGATGTAGGAAAATAGATCTTTCTCATATAGGAAGAGAATCTAGAAATGGAGGGAGAGGGAAAGGAAGGGAAGGAGAAGGGATGAAAAAGCAATTAAAATGTGTTTTGTACACGTGTCAATTCCACAGGAGAAAGACAAACAGCATGTACTGCAAATGTGTTCTAGTAAAAATTTAAAAAAAGAAACTATCATGCCATATGTTATACATTAGCTAATTCAGAAGCAGTGTCAAAACACAGTGAGTCCTATAACCTCCTCATCTTTATGGGAAATACGTGAATTTCAAAGGGTGGTTAAACATAGGAAAGATTAGCTTTCAGTTTGACCCATGAAAAAATGCATTAGAAACTGTCATTTGCCAAGTTATTCTGAAAAGACGTTGTTTAAAATCATTGAATTGAATAATTTAATTAGAAGTCAAAATTTATACTGTGATGAACTGCTAACTCATCCTTCATCTGAAACATAACATTAGAGCCAATGCTTTAGCTCTACACATTTATTGGGA